AAAAAAGGGTCAAAAGAAAAAGGGCTTGGAGGGTTTGGGGGAGCGGGGTGAGCATAGAGAAATCAGTAGAAGATCTCTTTGTCCTGAAGTAAAGGCTCGCAGAAGGTGATAGGATAGGAAAGGATAGAAGGAAGCACAAGAGCACAAGAGCACTCATACCTGATCAAAGAACTGCTGCGTCTTCTTCAGAATGTGCTTCAGCTCGGACAGCTCGAGGAAGGTCTTCTTCAGCGCCTCGGCGTTGTTGTTCACCTCCTTCAGCTCATTTTCCAGCTTCTCGAAGGTCACCTCGAGGTCGATCATCTCGCGGGGCTGCGGCGCCTCGGGGTTGTCGCCGACGTCCAGCACCGGAATGTCGTCCCGCTTGATCTCCTTCTCGAGGAAGCCTGGTGAATGAGAAGGAAAAAGGTAAACAAAGCTGCCAAGTTTTACGCAAAAGCAAAACAAACTTACGCAACTTGCGCTCCATTTCATCGCAGCGACGCACCTCGTTGACAAACTTGCGCTGAAAGGCGTTCACATTTGGGTTGACCTGGGTGAGAGAGAAAGGTGAGAAAAGGTAAATAATAAAAAAAAGTGTTTGCCAGTACTCACGTCTCTAAACTGCGTCAGGCCCAGTTCGCCCAGCTCGCTGATGCAGTTGTAGGCATCTTCTGACTGGAGAAAGAGCTGACAGAGGTACATCTCCTCGGAGCGGAGAAGGGAGCCCATCGTGGCGGCTTTCTGCTAAGTTGAGTCTGGTAATTGAAGCAGTGATGGTGGTGGTGATTATGTTGGTGGCAAACAAAGAGGCCAGGGGATGAAATTAAAGAGGAGAGATGATATGCTAGTCAAACTTGTGGATGGGAAAACGTGGTAGCCAGGTGAAGTGTGGTTGGCTTTGACAGAAGAGGAGGCCCTGTTGGCAGATTTGCTGAGCCGAGGCTGCTGCTGCTGCTGAATGTCAGAGGGTCTCTCTCTGGCGATTGCAGTCGCCGTACAGTCGAGCTAGAGAGAGAAAGAGGACCACTGGGAAAAGCTTTGGTGCTGCTGCTGATAGTGAATAGAGCACCAGCGCCAGCAACAGCAACAATATAGCAAAGTGCAGTGTGCTTGCTACTGCTGCGTGCTCTTGATGACTCTCTGCTTCGAGCCCGTTGATGATAACGCCGATGCCGATGAACAACTTTGACTCGCTGACTGAGTTGCTGCTGCTGCTGTTCACTCTATGAGTCAATGTCTTTCGCCTGCTAGAGCTCCACCTATATAGCGATTATGTGCTGCTGCTGGCCAACACAACTTCAACTTGATGGAAACCAGCCGAAGCTGAGCTGAAGCTGAAGCTGTGACGCGCAGATGCGCTCGCTGAAGAGAAACACTGACGAAGTGAGGCAGACTGCTTTTGCTTCTTTCGGCGCCAACTATGAAAAATTGAAGGGGAGAAAAGGGGATAAGCTTCATTGCTTCATTGGAGAAATGTCAAATTACCTGAACAAAGCGG